ACACTGCAAAAACTTCAGTTGTCAATTTTCTTTATCACAGTGTGCTTATATTATTCAGGTTCCAATGAATGAGAATTGACATTTGAACTACCCAAAATTGTATTTAAGATCACCTTGTTAATCTACAGTTTAGTGTTAGCTCAAAACTACTTGACAAGTGGTTACCTGTGTTTTTCATTATAAAAAAAATGGTGTATTCTTCTGTTACATTTCCTCTGACATATCTCATGTAGGAAATTGAATTATCAAGTATTAAAGTTTTAACAATGTTTGAAACCTAGCTGCTAAAGGAGATAGAAATCAGATCCAAAGTTATGATAAAATTTGACAATAAATCTAAATAGGACATTTGTAAATGTAATTTAATGCTATTGATTTTCTCATTCAAATTGTAACTATCATTGCGAAGAATGGTAGTTTATAAATATGTTATAGTGCTAACAAATTGAGTGTGAACTACACTGAGAAATTTTTATGAGTATAACAAATATCTATCAGTTCATAAATTCACTTATGTTCTATTTGCATAATATAAATTTTACTCAAAGTCATATTGAGAGAAACTTATAGCCCTGCAATAGAAAAGGTCACTGCATAGAAATACTTTCAAAATAGAAAGTACGGTGAATTTTGAGACCATGCTAGTTCATCCTGATCCTAATGAATTCTAGTAAGTGGAAAATAATAGTTCTTTTCTAGTGATCAAGACTAACTGTAAGAGATGAGATCTTATGACCAGGGAAGAGAAGCAGTAAGTGTATTGTTTACCTGCAGGTAAAATTTTTTGTGTTAAACTGAATTCACTAGCTAAAGCAATTCTTTTCTATAATATTTTTCCTTCAGAGTATAACTGCAGATAAGCAAATAATGCATGTAACAAGCTAACAACCAAAGAAAAGGACATAGAATGTTTTATCAATAAAGTGCTGCAACTGTGAAGGTAACTGAATAATACATGTAACGAACCACAAATAATGTCACTGTTATTGATGTAATCAGAAATATATTTATAATGGCACTTTGAATTCCTCAAAATTTAAAACTAGAGTGGCTATAACTGAAACCTGGAAATGTGGTGGCCTCCTTTTGTGAATTCTTACCTGGGTACTCAAGCAACAAAGGACAGAACCCAAAATTAAGAAATAGTCTCTTAATAAAAGAATTTATCTACATAGGAAGTGTGGAGAAAGACAAAGGGAAGGAAAGAGACTTATCAGAGTAGGTCAGTCCTACCAGTGCTTAGCACCAGTTTCCAGCACCAACCCATGGACAATAAATGGGACAGGTAGATGGGCCTGCCAGAGAGCTACGGCCCCTGTGCTGGCTGTGAGGGCCTGAAATGCCTGTGAGGACTTAATGCCCACATCAAGCAACCAGGAATGAGACCATCTTGGGGAATCTAGATTTAGAGTGCTGGGAGTTGTCATGAAAGCATCTGAGATGGTGACGGTAAGAAAATGAGGGTGGAGTCATAAAATCCCTACTTTCACTTTGAGCACCCAGCCTTGCCTGCCTGCTCTGATAGAACATTGCCTACTAATATAACCTGGAAGTGTTTCGGCCTTGTGACTCATGTACCTCATTCAACAGAGTATATAGTACAGAAGGGTCTCCCACTCTCTTTGCTCAGTGAATTGTCACATTGGTTAATTTTAATCCCAGATGTTTGTAAGTGCAAGGGTTTTCCACTGAAGACACCAGCTTCCCCTAAGTTTACAGCGTTACAAAGAAGCTTTGACATTTCAAGAAAGTCATATGCTATTTTGGGGTGTGAAGAGTAAATCTTCCCATACTCCTCTGCTGCTGACAAATAATCAAATACCAGACAATTTGAAAAGAGAAAAAAAGTATAACTTGCGGCCCTCCCTGGTGGCGCAGCGGGTTAAAGCACTGCACTAAGAAGCTTAAGCCAATTCCACATGAGTTTGACCCCCACCTGCCCCGTAGGAGATCCACATGGTGTGGCAGACCTCGCCTGACCCTCCCGCAGCTCCCCTCAACAGTGTACTTCATCGATCTGCCTCTTCTGCTCCCCACTCTGCTCCTGGTGAATCTTCTCACCCTCCGCATCTCTGGCCTATACCCCAATTCTGTGTGAATAAATAAATCTTTTTTTAAAAAAAAGTATAACTTGTATACTCCTGTGTACCTGGGAAAAACCCAGTGAAATTGGGTAAATCAACAAAATAGCTTGAGTCACTTAAGTATGGTCAGTTAGAAACAAAGGATGTTGGGGCAGGAAAGAGCACAAGAGGCTAGGGTGATGGTCACAGATGCTGGGGTTGTGGGAGAATTATGGGGATGACATGGGAGAAATCGAATATTATACAAAAATGAACAATGTAAGAAAATTTAAAAATTTAAAAAAAAAAAAGATGTTGGGCAGTGTAAGTAGAAACTCGGTCCTGGGGAGGTCACTGGAAAGGCACAGCCATTATTTAAATGAGATTTAAATTGTTGCCTTACCCATTGTAAGAGTTTAAGCGAGTAAGTTTCCCTTGAATAGTGAGATTCTTCCTTTGCAAATTAGATGTCTCTTCCAAAAGAATAACTTTGACCCAACTTTCAGAGTTCCTTCTGTGAAATAATACTCATGACAAAGAGACACCTTTTGAGGGTAGCAGATTTTGTTCTATATCACTGAGAACCTTCCTCAAAGGACATTGGAATATATATTGGTATGTTATTTGCATTGCATAATTAGTGGAGATGGGCCACCTTGCCCTGTTCTTATCACAAATCTCCCTGTTCCAAGTGAGGGTTTGCTGCTAGATACATATAGTAGCCAATTAATGTGTACAAGCTTTTAAGAAGGAAATTTACTGCAAGGTTGCCCAATAAGGTGACAGGAAGCCAGGCTCAAATCTATCTGCCTGGCCTGAAATGGAGGTGCTGCAGAGGAGGAAAATGGTAGAGGGGAATAGGGGAGGGGGAATTGCAGGTAGGCTAAGAATGAAAGGCCTGTGAATTTAGCAAAAGTGGGTTGGTTACTTCCAAGTAGGTCCATATATGGAGAGGTTCTTTCAGATCACTGAATTCCTGGGATTTTATAGCTGGACCCCTTGCTTCTGAATGAAGTTCAGCCAGTCCTTTTGCTTTGTCTTCCTATTTTTATGACTGGCTTGGGATTAAATTTAAAATCAGTTGTTTCTGTGCACACTCCGATTGTCACAGACAAGTGTTAAGTTCTGCTTCCTCTTTGAAGATATAGTAAAAAAGGGATTCAAGCATGCGTGACTGTTTCAGATAGTGGTGCATCAACCATAGTTACTCTCTTTCTTACTCCACGTAAGCAGCCCCTACCTTCGATTTACTCAGAGGTCAACAGTGTGGTTTTTCATCAATTCTTTTTCTTATTTATGACAAAACTTATGATCTTAGTCCTGCATGACTGATCCTCCACACATATTAAAGGACATGTCTTGAGGATTAAGCCACTAAGCTCTTGACTGTAATGAAAGTATGTCGACATGTAAAATTTGGAGAATTGCTTTATTTGTTTTTTTGCTCCATGGCTGTGATATTTTTGTGTTAAAAAAAAAAAAGATGAGAAGGATGGTCTTAGCTCGGTTTAGGGTATAAGGAATTGTAAGGGACTGGAAAGGAGACACAGTAATTAATGGGGTATCACCTCATCATGGCTAAAAGTTCTATACAGGATCAATTTCTGGATCTACTAGTCAGTAGGCAATTTATTTTATTCATTAACTAAAGTAGGCAATTTATTTTACTTGTCTGTGACTGACTTTTTCACCTTATTAGTTCTCAGAGCTGTTATATAAAAAATTATCGCAAGGGGTTAAGTCTCAGCACTATGATGCTACCTGCAGCATGAGTTGGATCCACGGACAGGGAGCTAACACACATGGCACAGCAGACCTCCCCTGTTTCACTCACTGCTCCCATCAGCTGTGTACTTTGTCAGTCTGCCTGTTCTGCTCCCCACTCTGTCTCTGGTGAATCTTCTCACACATGCTCCTGTTCCTCTGGCCTGCACTGCAGCTCTTATATGCATAAATATTATTTTTTAATTACCACAAATACTTGTCTTAAAGAACAGAAATTTATTGTCTCAAAGTTCAATGGGCTGAAAGCAAGGTGTTGGCAGAAGCTCACTTCCTCTGGGGGATTCGTGAAAATTCTCTCCTTTCCACTCTCTGGTAGCTGTCAACTCCTTGGAACTTGTGGACAGATCACTCCAGTCTCTACCTCCACATTCACAGCGCTTAATTTTTGTTTTACTGCCTCGTCTCCCTCTTCCTTCTCTTTCAGAAGGCACATGTGATTGTCTTTAGGGTCCACACAAATAATCCAAGATAATCTTCCTCTTCATGATCCTTAACTCAATTCCATCTGCAAAGTACTTTGTAGTTATGTAAGAGGCTGCAAAATTGACCAACAGGTGAAAGGATGCCAGGCTCAACTCTGTCTGCCTGGCATGAAGTAGACAGAGGCTTTGTAAGGAGGGAGAGGGAGTAAATGGGAGGGATAGGCATGGCTGAGAATGAGAGAGTTATGAGTTTAGCAAAAAGCAGGGAGTAAAATATCTTTGAGGGGACCATTACTTAGCCTATAGTAAATTAGATTGATGAATGTACCTTCATAAATATTAAATATTATAATACCTAAAAATCATTTAGAACAATGTCTAACATGTAATAAAGCATTCACTAGATGTGATGATAGTTTTGTTAGTGATGATGAAGCTACTAGATAGGTAGACAAAATGTTTTGAAGTGAACAGGATAATGTTTTGAAGGAACATGTGTGAGCATTTGGATTTTTGATGTGTACTAACTTCAAATTTTTATTGTTTCTCCACATTAATTTTAACCCAATAATTTAGGTATATCATAGTCAATTGGGTTTTATCTTTCATTACTTTTCACTTGAAATTTAAATGATTTTAATTATATTTATCCTGATTTCTTTCTAAGATGAAAATAAAGACTGTGATGTAATAAGATTATCTTCCTGCTCTCGTTCTCCCACACATCTAGGATACAGACCTAATGACGTTCAACATCTCTGTACACCGGTCGTGGTGGCGGGAACATGGGCCTGGCTGTGTCCGGAGAGTGCTGCCCCCGTCGGCCCACGGCCTCATGGACGATTACACCTATGTCTCTGTCACAGACTGCATCATAGACTTCCAGTACCTAGAGGTCATCCACAGCGCTGTCCAAATACTACTGTCTGTAAGTGTCACACACGTGTCATTGCCTAATCAAGACACGGCATTTTACTGGCATTTTATATCTAAACTTTCTCCACAGCCATCTAGTTGACACTGCCATAGGTAAGTACATGGAGAACATCCCTATAAACAAAGGAAATAGCAGCAGTTGTATTAACAGGAGATGTATCTAATTGCAGGTTACACGTATTTCCTGTTGGCATCTAGACATTTTGTTTAAAGAGCAGGTTGCTGTACTTCCTAACTTGAAATATAATCCACACAGTACCATTGCCCGGAAGAGGTGCATTGTCCATTTGCTACCTTCAACCCAAGGTAGCAAAAATATATATAATATATCAGCCTCTGCATCGCAAGGTAAAAGTATTTATTTGAAAAAAAAAAAAAAAACATGAAACCTGTGCTAAAGAGACATGCTAAAAAAAGTATGTTGCCACCTGAACATACAGTTAACGTTTAAATGAATCCCTCAACATATTAGTTAAGTGAGTAGCCAAAGCTGCCCACATATCTATCCATAATCCTGACTACTATTTAGCATTTTGGCAATAAGAATTAATTTGTTGCTGAGCTTTGTTGTTTCTTTGGTAACACACCTGCAAGACAAGATTGCCAATATTTTATTTTTCATATTAAAATATATCCTGAAATTGTTTCACAAATGTCAAAGCATAGATTACTGTGGTTGATTTTATATGTGTCTCCTACATTTTCCATTTATTTATATGAATATGTTTAAAATGATTAGAATTATGATTCTTTAATTCTGATGCTCTAGAAATATTAACTATCTGCCGCCTATCACTGAAGATATAAAGTGATGGTTTCACTATTATTGCCTATTCTACACAGTAAACAATGAAGCAAACAAAACAGTGGGGCAAGGTCCTCTCAGCTTGGCTCCACCAATTATCCTTTAATTGATGGGAGCTTAGCAACCACTAGAAGGACACAGAAAGGGACTGATGGAAGTGGCCAGCATACTAGAGAGGGAGTCCCTAGGGTTTGAGGGCAGAAGCTCTTTAAAAAATAAGGAGTATTTCAGTGATTTACCCATGGACATAGCTTTGCAGATAAACACTACCTGTTCCATAGTCCTGTGTAAGACTAGATCTTGAAACTGGAAAAAATGAAATCCTAGTTTCATAGTTCTATGGGAACTATGACAAGAAATGAAAAAAAAAAGTAGTTTTTGAAAAAATGCCTCTGGTCACCTAACTCCTCCAAAAGATCTCAAGTGCCTCCTTTCCAGCACAATAGCAAAAGCAGGCCAGCCACACCAGACTCAGCACTCTGCTTGAAATAAGCTCTGTACCCTGGGTGCCCTCTTACCCCCCACCCTCAGCTCTTCATCCACCTGGCCACAGTCCAACTTATTCCCAGAGTTGCAGAATAAGTTAATTTAATTTCCATTAAAGTCCCACACATCTGAACATGAGCTCTATTATAAGCAAACTAAAATAAGTAACTAAAAGTCATATTTGTATCACATCTGATAAAGAATCATTACCTATTACACCTGGTGAGAAAATTTAAATATCAATATCATGAAAATTTACTGAATCAATGAAGAATAGGAACAAATACAGTCACACAAAAGGAAATCCAAATTGTAAACAAAGTATAAAATATGACTATACTTAGTAATCATTTGATATGTACAAATTAAATTTTTAAAATTCATACTCATTTCACAACTTTCAAAAAGTAATAACACATAGTATTGATAATAAGTTGTGTTAACTTTTGATAATAACACTCTTTATTGCAAGGAGTACTAAAATAGTCCTACTTTTTAAGTGTTTTAACCTCACTCATTGGAATTTCTCCTTAAGAGCACACAAAGAACTACCTCCATGATTTTCTTTTTAATGTCATTTACCAGAGATTACTTGGGTATGCCTAAACAGATAACTGTTAAAGGCATTAATAAATTTTGTATATTATGTATATAATAATTTTTAGTATATTAACAAATTTATCACATAGAATAACTATGTCAATTTTAAGGAGCATCTATAAGTTATGACTTAAATAAGTGAAGAGAGGTAAGAGAAAAAAATGTAAACTTGTATGTATGTTCTTCCAAAAGAAAGTCTTTGATGTGTATCACATTTTCAGTATCATTTAATATCGCATAATTTATATAAGAGTAGGAGAGATGTCACAGTTGGTTTCCTCAGATTATTAAACATTCCCAAATCTCAGAATATATAATTGGTCATTTAGAGGCTCTCCTAAATCTTACCTATGACCAGTTATAGCATTTTAATAGCTATAGTAGGTTAATAATGATGAGTTTGTAATTTAAGGCTCTTTTCAATTTCTAGAATTAAGGCGTTTGCTGGTAAAAATACCCATAAACTCAAACTAAATATTAAACTTTTGCATATTTTTATGGAGCTCATTTTTTAAACTGTAGGTAAATCCTAATCTCAAAACCTGAAATAGGTCTTTAAAATTCACCTTAGCATCTCCCTTTGGAGCTAATTTTACATATATATTGTCTTGGATCCTCACTGTCAAGAGAGTCTCCTTCATATCTGATAGGTGACAAGTCTCATTCTTTAACATCTTGGGAGGTCTTCACATGATCAGAGCTGGGAATTGGAGTGCTCTGAAAATTGGTTTTCTATCATGTCCCTATTTTTTTTGCATTGCTTCTATCTGGTCACATCAACATTCATCACAGCTCACTGTCTTTCATATCAGACCATTCAGCTTGAAGATAAATTAAAACTCAATTGAAAAGGGTGAAAGGTAATATTAGACCACAAGTATCCTATGGAATATTTATTCTCAAAAGTCTGTATGGATATCTATTTCATCTGAATAAATGGCACAGTGACAGATAATACTATTCTAATTTAGTAACACCCCTGCAATTTAACTATGCAAATCAAGAGATAAGTTCTTAAAATAAGTTTTAGTTTCTGTAAATTGTACCCCTTCAGAAAGTGTCAATATAGTTAAACGGGTTTTTTGTTTTATTTCTGTGTTCACGTTTGCATTTATTTAACAAATTCTTAGTATGTGTTTGGCGCTGCTCTGAATACATTGCAAGATGAACTCATTTAATCTTCAAAATGACAAAGAAGTATTGCTGTCCTCATCATGTAAATGTGAAAATGGAGAAAATCAGAGAGGTTAAGTAATTTGGCCAATGACACATGCCTTGTGAGTGAGTGAAGCTCGAAGCACTCAGATTGACCCCCAATGTCCACGACTGTACTCATTTTGCTGAGCTTCTGGTGACACTGGAACAGAAACCTCCAGTTCCCATACTGTTCTGCTGAGGTTAGGGGCAAATCCTGTCACATAGTTTTAAGGTGTGACTCTTCGCTGCTTTGAGATTTGTTAGCATCAGCATTTGAAGTAATAGAGAGCAAGCAATAATTTTCTGATTGTTAAAAGATTTGTGATATTCAAAATGTTTCCTTTCAATTTTGAAATCATCTCTTAATACCTTTTTGTTTTTAAAAAATGAAGGATTTCAACAGATAAAATGCTAAGTTGTCAGGGTCTTTTGGCTTTGTAGGTGTAAGTGGGAAGAAATATTGGTCAACCTTCCCTGGTTTATATTCTCAGAATTTCTGTTTTCCCAGAGAATCCAAAAAGTAGATCCTTTCTGTCTAGACCAAGATTTGAAGTTTTCCTAAGTGCTACCTAAAAGTGTGAAGTATCTAATCATTAGAAGATGAAGTTTTCCTAAGTGCTACCTAAAAGTATGAGGTATCTAATCATTGTAGTGTAAAGAAAGAAAGACCAGGAAACAATACATAAAAAGACTGCAACAGAGACATTTTGATTCAGGAAACAAAATGTAGTTGAACAGTAAAATTGTTTAAATTTGAAAATGTTTGGTAAATAGTATATATTTTTTAAAGATGTATTTATTCATACAGAACTGGGGTACAGGCCAGAGATGTGGAGGGTGAGAGGACAAAGTGGGGAGCAGAACAGGCAGATCAACAAAGTACACTGCTGAGGGGAGCAGCGGGCGGGTCAGGAGAGGTCTGCCACGCCACGTGTATCTCCTCCGGGGCAGGCAGGGATGGAACTCATGAGGAAGTGGCTTAAGCTTCTCAGTGCTGTGCTTTAACCCGCTGTGCCACCAGGGAGGGCTGGTAAATAGTAATTTTAAAAGTCATTTCATTCTTAGTATACATGTCTATGCTGTGCATTCTCTCTGTCTTTGAAGCATACATACATCATTAAAAAGTTTTATTGAGTTACCATTCACATATCATGTAATTGATGTAAATAAAATTTACAAATCAATAGTTTTCATGTATTCACATATTTCAGTGCAGCCATCACCACAGTCAATTGTGGACTATATTCATCACCTTCCACAGAATCCCATACCCTTTTCTATCATCACCTCTTCTCACTTCCTCCCCAACCCTAAGCAACAACTATCTACTCTCTTTCTTTACAGATTTGCTTATTCTATTCCATGTAAATGAAGTACATAAATAGGTGTCTTTGTATGGTTTCTTTCATGTTGGGTCCACATTCAAAGTGGACCCATGTAGTATGTATCAGAGCTTCTTTTTTGTGATTGAACCACATTCTTTTATATATTTAGTTTTAATACTTTGTGCATTATAGATATGTGTACAACATTATATATGGCAAAACTTTCAGAACTGCAAATGAAATGTATAAAACGCTCACCTGTCACTAACATCCCTAAATGAAATTTAGGTAATCAACCATATGTTCCTGTGTACATATAGCTACATATTGGTAACATCTGGGTTATATAAACAATTTTCAGCTCTTGTATAGATGTTTGGTCTAACATAAATCCATTGCTAATGCTGTTTATTACCTGTAACCATATCTATGGTTATAGTTCTCTTATACCAAAACATTCTTCTTAATATGAAATATATAATTGGATTGTATTTTGTATGGTAATCAGATATATAAACATTGACATGTCAAATCACAAATTCCAGACCATTTCCAAAGAATAGAATTCAGTCTTCATAT